CCCTCGTGGACAGTCACAAATCCATCAGTAATGATACAGGAAGGGGTGCAAGAGTAACGGACGGCGGTCAGCCATATCTAGCCCCCGGTTTGGCAAATTCTGAGGCGCTTAAGCTTATTAGCCATCATACCCAATCCCAGGTGTGGATCACTACTTAACATAGTAAAATTAGCTGGTTTGAAACAAATCCGATGAATTTGCCCGTATTTTCGCTCTCCACTTCTCTCCCAGGCAAATGGCTACAGCTGCTGTCTGTATTCTAGTAACACCAATACTATGCTGCAAACTGGTAGTGAATAAAATTATTTACTTAAATAGGCCAACTTACTCCTTAGACTTGTCCGGGCACCGGCTAGTAGGACCGGGTCGTTGACAACCCTGGATAGGAATTCCACAGTATCGGTCAGAAGGGCTTCCAGGCCCTCGTAGGTGTCCACCGCCTGAGGGCGAGAAAAGAAACAGCTCAGCTTCCACTCAAGTAGGTTTAAAAATATCAAGATGATCAAAGAAAGTGCGTGTGTGCTACCTACCGGCTCCAAACTGCCAGCTGTTGGTGATGATGGCAACGGCGGCAATTGTGGCCCCGCTGGGTGGTGAGGAACTATACGTCGAAGACGAGCCAGCGTTTGGTCCAAATTGCGAAGACTGCTTATTCGTCGAGTCGGTGGCTGAGCGGCCCTCGAAAGGTGCCGCATTCGTGTCCGGCTAGGTAGGGGGGAGGAGAGGACAGTGTCCGGGCTGCGTTTCACGCCAAGGCAGGGGTACTTGGCTTTCTGAAATTGCAACAAGACGTGAGGGTAAGTGCTCAGAAACACTTTTTCGTGTTGTGCTAGAGGACGACGAGGAGGACACCGAAATCTCCAACGGAATCCTTTTGTTTTCACTAAGAGTCCTGAGGAACTCCCGCCTGCCAAACCCCTATCCACCAGGTTACATATATAACTACTTTCTTGTTTTCAGTAGACGGTTTGTTTGCACTAAAGTTGGCTCGGGTGAGCATTTCATAGTGGAAATGCAGTGAACGTGTTGTAGGCTGCTATTTCGGCAACGCCTCACCTTTTCAACCGTTCATATTTCATAAAGATTTTTATGCATTTTGGATACTAAAGCAACCTGTAACAATTTTTGCATCTTCACCACTTTTATGCATTCTTGGGTTTTTAAGGGGTTCTGTCATTTACGCCTGACTGACTGATGATAACCGGGCACGTCAAACTGCTGTGATAATAACAACCGATATGGACTGATTGCATGCGGCCAAGGAGAAGTACAAGAACAGAGGGAGAGAGAGCTGCAATACCAGAAGGCAAGGGCTTCCTTCCGTCTGCTTCTATTGTCCACACACACGCACACACTTTTCAGCTATTTATTTACCGTAGAGCGCAGATTTTGGATCAGCCGAAAAAGAAAACAAGGAAACAATAACAATGTGCTGGTGAGGGAAGAGAGGGGGCATTTGTAGCGATAACCGAG